CATGAAAATAGCATCAAAATGTTCATTTTAACTTGCTCTTTCAAATGATGTATGATTCAATAGGGTTATTCCGAACAATTCTTAATGGGCCGATTTGGCCTCTTATGCGCCCCCGTCCTTTGAATCGATCTCCTTAATGATGCTTCTTTGTGCAATATGCTTATGTCAAATGGATTACGACAATTCAATCTTTTTACTGCTTGGGAACAACCAAATGTAATTAATATTGGCTATTTGGTCATCGAACGCCTACCTTATTTGCAAGTCATAGAACTAAATGGTACGAATTGTGAACTCGCTGAAATGTCACGTATACTTATCAATGGTCTTTCGAAATTAAATTTTCTCACTATTAATGGTTGTATTAAACATGATAAACTTTATGATAAACAATTGCGTGATCTACAGAATTCAATTACGTGCTCTTTTCGGACAGAAGTTTCTAACACGACAGATGAAGATACAGTTTTCGTATGGTTATAATAAAATGGAATTCTGAATATTTCTTTTTGTTTTGTTATACTTAAACTTATTTTGGTAGAAGAATCGTAAGAATTTTTAAATATGAATAAAGCAACAAGGAAAAGTTATCCGTTGAAAATGGAAACTGTTAAAGAAAAAAATTGATTAGCAGATTATGCAAATAAAAAAAAACAACTTTTCTTGTTTAACATCAATAAGATTAATCAATCATATAAAAATCTACCTTTTAGAAAGTGAAATTCCTTCTTTTTCAAGATAAACCATCAAAATTGTATGCTCGAGTGTTGTTGGGGTAGATGTGGGTGTCGATGTGAAGTTTGTTTGATTCTTTCTCTCCACACCAACACATCCATGGCGCCATTCAAGTTGTATCTATCAACACTCTTAATATATTTATTTATTTATTTCTCTTTCTAAAAGTAACATTTAATGTACGGAAATGAGGCCTGTTCATCCTTTGATGTAAACTGGTACAATGCAGTCATTTTCCCAGGCAAGCCTGGTGTAGCTGTTGTTTCTGTCACGCTCACTGGACGCTTGAGATCAATCATAGATGATTGTGCAACCAGTGTTCGGTGACTAATGAGTTGTGTGTCGACTGGGCGAATCTGACACCAATTATCGTATCTCAGCATTTCGACATTTGACCATCCCACGCAATTTACGGTTTCAACTAAGACATTGATGCAATTACGCGTGTTCAAATCGACGTTTGCTTGAAAATAGGTGCCATTTGTCAATGAGACTATATAGGTTGCACCATATTCAGACTCAAACCAGTTGCGATACCCGATTACTATCGTTGAGTCTGGAGCAAGGACTGCTTGCACAGCATAGACGCTAGGAATTCGTACAGTCCCCATCACAAGATCATAGCCCAGAGTGAATGTCATGCCAGGCGGTTGTAACATGTGTTCAGGAAGAAATAGAAGAGGATTTCCATTTGTCCGGCTCCCAAAAAAAGTGACAAGTAGAAAAGCAGCACCAATGATACTCATCTTGTGTTCGCACAACGAGCGTGTAAGAAAGCATATTCAATTATACTTAAATTTAATCTCTTCATTCGATGCAGCTGCTTATATTCTCATAGATACAGCAGTCATAAAAACTTTGTTGTGATACACGGACAAACATTCATTTTTCTGCACTAGAGATATGCACTTTTTGCATAAACACATAGGGCAAATCGATGTGAATGGATGTGAGAAATGCCAATGAATCTTGTGCTTTCCAACGTCTACTTGAGGGTTTGAATTAGGGTGTAGGTGTGAGGTGTTAATATTAGTGTTCTCTTTATCCACACCCACACCCATACCCCAGCATCATATATCGGAAAGATTTTTCGTCAACCAGAGAGACGGTTTCCTGAACATGGTAAACCGAAAGATATCCCTTAATTCTCAGCCATCAATCACTTCTCCTAACCAACAAGCTCAGTCATCTTCAACTATGTTGATCTCTGTCATACGTTCTAGTCGAAAGAAAAATATCGTTAACTATGCTCTTTACGACAAGATATTGGAAAGTACTATTGCAGAAGAATCTACAAGTTCAACAGTACCTTCTACCATAAATTCTGCTATTCATTAACATGAGCTAGAAACAGAACACACCACGGATTGGCGAAACTGGAAAATTATTAGTAAAGATAAAAAACGATCTCGCCTACTCATGAGCAAATATTTAGCTATTCTTTAGTATAAACCAACTCTCAACAAGACTATTCGCTCCATTCCACTGATCGTATATCCAAAAGGTGAAGCAGCATTCAAACCTAAAGTAAAAATAAAAATACTCCAGGCAGCAGGACAATACTAGAGGGTGGCCAATGATTTATTTGTTTTTCTAAACGTTTAGAAAAACAAATTTGATAATAGTAATATAGAGGTCTTTACTGTTGTAAAATGTTCTCGTTCTATTACTGTAGTTAATTCATTGCCTATACAGACTATACATTTCTTTCTTTGTCTTTTGTTCTTATATATCTGCATTCATTTCCATTATCTTCTTGTATGATGATGCAACTCAATGTTGCGAAACTTACGTCTCTTATTTAAATAAATAAAGTAAATTTAAAATGAATTTTATCTCTGCTGTTAAAACTATATTAATTATATATGCTAATTGTATTTATGGATAATTCACTGAACCGATGTACGTGATCAGCATAGGATTACAGCTGTGGGGAATTGTACGAGCGCCATCAATGAATGTGTTTGATAATGTCTGTGTTATCGTCCCTGGTTTTCGTATTTGAAATGTAGCTGTTATTGGATTGGCAGGACTTGAACTCGGAGAGAAAGAATATTATTCAAAACAAATACGATAAACACCACTTGGCACCGTCACATTCCAAAAAATATTTTCTGGACCGGTATTTCTTGTATCATCATGATCTAGCTGACCTTGGTTTGTATTTTCATTTGGACCTTTATTACCGTAGTAAATCGATTTTCTCAATGGCGTAGTGACAACAATATCACCGTCACCGGCATGTGACCATACTACAGTAATCCCGAACTCTCCACTACCAACACAAACACCATTGGAACTACCCGTTCTTCAATGTTGGATAGCGTCCAACCGTTCTATTGGTAATGATCTTATACAAGTAAATAAAAATGGAAGCTTAAAACTTGTTGACATGAATAGTATTGTATCATGTCATTATTTCTTTGACAATGTGAAATACCTTTTAGTGGATCATATGGTTAGTTCTGTATTCAAATGGGTGGCAACACATGTAAATTGTTCTAAAATCAGGCAACTCGCCATTATACGCTCACAAAAAGACACAGATGCATTAAATAAGTTCTTGGAATGTCTCACAAATATGGCTTCACTGTATATAAGCTTCGATGTGCTTTTGGCCAATATAGATGCTTTCATGGGCAAAAGTAATTGTGTAAAACACCTTGATATTTCTCTTTCTAAGCATCTATTTAACGAAGAAGATATTATTATTATTATTGCCAAGTGCTTTCCTTAAATGGAACATCTAAAAATCAATACATCAAATTTACATAATGTTCCACTATTGAAGAAATATTTAGTACATCTTCGCAGTCTTACTTTCAATATTGTAGAAAATTATCCTGGACGTTATGAAGATTATCAGAGAAAAATGTGGGAATATGATCTACGACGAAAAACTAAATTTTTGTTCCACGTGAAAGATGATATGATGACAGTTTGACTCGACCAAGCTGTATTTGAAGAACCTTACTGGCAAACATTTGGTGTAAAACCATTTGAATCAACGGATGCATCAATCCCAACTACAGCTTTCGATATTTCAGTCATTACCGAAGCTTCAGACAATCCGAAAAAGAAAAAGAAAAAGTCTTAGTTCAGTTTTTAAATTTGATGACATAGTACCATGCGAAACATCTCTTTTTTCAAATGAAGTGCTAGATTGTTAATAAAATGTTTTATTATTGATTCTTACCAAATGAGTGAATAAATGAGCGTCGTTAATCCTGATTTTCTATATGTATCTTATCAATGACTGCACTCATTATTTTGCAAAGTGTGATTTTCAGCTGATAGATATGCAACATTGCGTTGACTAAAATGCAATCAGTATATCTTTATGTAAACTACAACAAAGTCTACATAAGTACTATTGATTCTTGGTTTCTTTTTCCTTAATTCACTTTTGACGATTGGTCGATATGTTTTAGGGTAAAAAATTCCTCTCGGAAAATAGCATATTTTTATCAGAAAATGGGTATTTGTCTAATACGATTATATTCGTAACCACCATTTGTTTGTGTAGAAGTTTTTATTGTGAAGAGCTTTCGAAGTGAGAGATATCCAAAGAATAAAAAATTCTGAAAAAGTCTCCCTTTAAAATATATTAGCGAAAGGTGCTCCGAAAGTTTTAACTCCTTATTTTAAATTGACGGTATTTATAAAAATACATATGCAGATAGTTGACTGAAATA